TCATCTGGCTTCAGAAATGATCATTAGATTTTTCTATGTACAATATACGTACAAACGAATTCAGTTATCAGAATTAAAGTAATTGCTTTAATTTGAAAATTATATTCTTCTAGAATCAATCTCTTAGATAGATCGTGATCCGAATATTAATTAAGAAGAAAGTATTTTCTTACAAAAAAGACTTCTGACGATAATTGTCAAAATATACATCTACAAATCTAAAATTTAAAACTTGTCTAACTATATCTAATAAATCTAATTGTTCATTTGAAATTGAAATTGAGAAAATTATTCTCCTAGAAAGTTTGATATCTATTTCTTTTTCTTTTTTAAATTCGTATTATATTGCATAAGAAATTAAGAAAAATCAAATGTTCAATTGAATTATTCAACAATCCGCTTCGATCTAGTTGCAAAATTACACTTTTAAATTAGTTTAAATTTCAGAATTGTCAATAAATGATATTTTCAATATTTTCAATCCTAAACATTGTCGGCAATCTTTGAAAATTATCATCGAGAAACATCACGGTAACAATTCGTCCGAGAATGAATCGTAATTTGGTCGTAATGAAAAAAATAAAAAAGTGAAAAACTGAAGAAACAAGTATTTTTTTCATAATAAGAAACAGGCCATTTGTTGGCGCGCAGACTGCAGGATATCATCTGTTGAACAAGTGATATACATTTTCATACAAGCATATAGCGTATGGTCGCCGGTACGTCTCGAGTGATCGATCTCACGTGGAAGCAGACTGCCATGTCGACATCGGCAGCAAGCTGACCGACGCCGCAGCAACGAGGTCGACCAAGAGGACGAAAACATCCCGGCTGATCAATTAACCCGAGAGGCCGAGTTGAAACGGCCTGCGGACGCTCTCGAACGAGAGAAAACTGACGGTGGCAGCCGGCGAACCAGCCGAACGGTTCGTTTTTACGCACTGAAAGGCCAAACGACGTAACGCGTGACGGTGCCATTGCTCCTCTTCTTTTTCGTCTTCTTTTTCTTCTTCTTTCTTCTCCTTTCTCTTTTTTTTTTTTTTATCTAACCGTATACGCGCAAGTAATGATCGATTTCAAAGAACTTCTTCGACGAACACACGCATTAGGAATCACACAACCGATCGTGATCAAATATTTGATAATATCTAAAATAGGATAAGGCGATGAAACAGTAGTTTATTTAGAAGATTTAAACAAAAAAATGTTTAGTCGTTACTTTATTATTAGAATCAAGAAATACAATGAACATAAAAATATATAATTTTCTGATAGTTTTATCATTTAAATGATTGATAGAAATTTAACATGCTGGCATTAGTATAATTTTATATTTATTTTAATGGATAGGAGAACATATTTTTTGTGGTAATATATTTTTAAAATTTTCTATATTTACTAGAAATTTCAGAGAAATATAATAATGATAATATATAAATATATTATATTATAATTGTTCATTATAATATCGAAGCATATCAATAGCAAAATTTAACGGAACAGTATATTAAATTATTATGCTACATACAACTATAATATGGTGATACATTACTATTATGCAGTACTATAACAGTGTTATAGTAAAAATTTGTATTAATAATCCCTTAGTCCGTAATCTTTACGGATTGTAAAAATTATTTATACTATATATAAAAAATAATAGAAGATTATACTTTAATTTAAAATATTGAGCAATATTTTAATATATGCAAATATTTTAATATATGCACATAAAATTGATCAGATTTAATAAATGATTAATTATTTTAAAAAATTACAGTTTTTTATTTTGTTATTTTAATTTGTCTTAAATTTTTTAAATTAATAGCCTTTTATTTTTGTGACACAAAACATATAAAAAATTCGAAAACTAGATAGAAAAGATTTTTAAAAACTTTTCAACATTTCTATAATAGATGCGCAAAAAAAAAATTTATATTCGAAGGTGATCTACTTAAAATAACTAAATATCTTTTAATCTAATATAATATAAATAAAAATTCGCAAAAAAAAACTGAAAATTCCTATAATTAATTTGTTTATATGCAATATTATATAATTAATATATATAATGATTAAAAATATATAAAAATAAATATAATAATTTTTACTTTTGCTTTTATTTTATACCAAATTTAATTACATCTGCTTAAATATTAAAATATTTTTCAATGTTCTTTTAAATTATAAAGTAAGTATAGATATTTCTCAATTTTTTTAATTCTGCTTTGATAATTCGAAACAATTTTCATAAACGATAAACTTTATAATACTTATTAAGAAGTATCTATATTATAATATAGTATACTTTTTATCATTTCAAATTTTAATGAAAATAAAATGATATGATGCACAAATAAAATGATTTTAAAACTAATAAATTCCAAATTAAAAGAAAAAAAAAGAATAGCAAAAATATTAAACTATGTACTAGATATTTTTAAAAAATATTATTCAAATAATATATACATTATCAAAATATTTTTATTTTTTAATTTTATTTTTGTCAAATTTGATTATATGACACAAATGTTTTTATTTAAAATAAAAAAAAATACATATCTACTAAAGTTGTTTTATAATAATAAATTGTTGATTGTTTTATAACAATAAACTTAAAATAGACGTTGAAATTTGTAAATTTCAATTAAAAAAAAAATGTAATCAATGAAACAATTACTTACAATTGATGTTGCCGGGTCAGCATGATTTTTTCAAAGAAATAAATACAGATACGTACATTTGTATAAAACGACAATAACGAATGTACACGTTTATACACGATCATTCAAAATTAGCACTTATTTAAAGAAAATCTATGAGACGATCAGTCTATGAATTACATCGGCACCACACTCAAATTGTATATGAGCGCGCACTTTGCAACTTTTGTATGCGAGCAGAGCGAATCCCGATAATCGTTCACGTTCGTAACACCACTCCGTTTGACATAATTTATCTGGTGACCCCACGGCTGGTTACTCGTCGGCCGACGCAAAGCAACGCAGGGAGCTGTTAAGTAAGTGGTGGGGATATGCCAAGGATAACGAAAATATATAGATGTTCTAGCAATTTCTTACTTTAAAGATAAAACAACCATTGATTGGTTTATTTTTTTTTTCTTTGCTTTACGCGATTTATGAATTTAATAAATTTTTATATATATTCAAACAAATAATTCAATTTTAATATAAAAATCTAATATTTATTTATTAATATTTGGTCATAATTCTTTTTTAATTATAGAAAGACATTCTTAACAGTTTATATTTTAATATAATAATATATAATAATAATTTAATATGTTTTATTTTATAGAATATTATATAAATAATTTATTACAACAATATGATAATTATATTTCTAATTATTTTTAGTGCCCTCTAGTTATTATTCCTTTTAAATGAGTAGTACATTAATGTTTTGATTTGTTGCATATCTTTATTATCACTATTCAAGTTGTATTGACATAGATCATATGTTTTGATTCTAAATGTTTTGTAAATAAAAATTTTTTTTCAATTTATTGTATAATTATATTAAAAAATGGAAAATGATAGTCCTGTAATATATGGCCTTGAATTTCAAGTATGCAATATAATTTAAATATTTAAAATATAAAATATTTTAACTATTATTACTTTACAATATATTCTTCTGAATCGTAAACTTTTACAAATAATAATTTAACATATATTATCCGAAATATAAATCTTATTATTCATTCTCATATAAATTTATAAAATTTAAAATTTAAAATGTGATGAAATTAACACTTGAAATTAATATTTTTTAAATTATTAATTAACCATTCATATTTTCTTTTATAGACAAGAGCATTATCAGCTCAAACAGCAGAAACAGATATTGTTAGATTTTTAATTGGAACGCAATCATTGAAATTTAATAACAATCAAGTTCATTTAGTAGAGCTTAATGAAGAAACAGGTGGTTTAAAGACTCAAGTATTTCATCATTCCATTGGAGAAATTTGGTCTTTACAGGCTTCTCCTACAGATCCCAATGTATTTATTACTTGTTATAATACTTTAAATGGTAATTATGAAATTGTTTTTTTCTTTTTAATCAAAATAATAAATGTTAATTACATTTAACAAAACAATTTCATTCAGATGATGGTTCTTGTCAAATGAAAGGAGCACTTTGGAAGCTGCCAGAATTAAAAGAATATACAAATGATATTGAAAATCTCAAAAACATAGCAGAAATTGATACCACACTATATGGTACAGATCTTAAAACTATTGCTTATCATCCAATGGATTCAACAAAAGCTGTTTCAGTTGTGGATAATAAATTTATATTGTGGGATTTAGCTAATAATGGTCCACAGGTAAAAATAGATTTCAAAATTATTTATCAACAAGTATATTTTTTATTATATTACTTTATTTAGGCTACTACTTCTGGTACTCTAGCTAGTAAAGGTCAACCTCGTTTTACAAATGGAAAATGGAATCCTCATAATGGTTGTAATCAGTTTGTTACATTAAATGAAAATAATGTTCGTGGGTGGGATTTCAGAAATCCTACTGAAGCTTCTTGGACAATTTTATCTGCGCATTCTCAAATAATTAGGTATGAAGTAAAATTTTAATTTATTTTTTATTGATTTTATAATTAATTATAAAATAATAAGTAATTAATATTAATATTACATTCAGAGATTTAGATTTTAACGTAAATCGTCAATATATTTTATCTACATGTGGAGATGACGGTTACATGAAATTTTGGGATATTCGATCATCTTCTGAACCAGTATTGTCTCGTATGGAACATTCACATTGGGTGTGGAGTATTCGAATTAATCGTTTTCATGATCAATTGGTTTTAACTTCAAGTAGTGATTCAAGAGTAATATTATGTAGTATTGCTTCGATATCTTCAGAATCTTTTGGACATATAGTATCCCCTGAAGATGATTGTACACAAAATGATTATAATTGCAAGAAAAACAAGTAATAACTAATAATTAAATCATATTATAAATCAATTTATTATATTATAGAAAATTAAATTATATCGTTTTTAGACTTGAAGATGGAGTTGTTGGTAGATATGAAGAACATGAAGATAGTGTTTATGCAGTTGAATGGTCATCTGCAGATCCTTGGACATTTGCATCATTAAGTTATGATGGTAGATTAGTTCTTAACAAAGTTCCAAGAAAATATAAATATCAAATACTGCTTTAAGTGAAAACTAACTTATGAATATAAATGAAAGATAATTATATATATATAAGGGATTTACATTAAATTTTATTTAAAAAATCTTATTTAAATTGTTTAATTTCTCTAAAAACTGAAAAAGTTTTTATAAATATAGTAAATATTAAACTATATCAGTTTAACTTGTGTTTATTTTATAATATTCATAATATTTCATAATTTATTTCATAATCGTTCTGAAATTTTACTTGCTACATTTCTTAATTGTCCATAAACTTTTGATGGAGGACTACCCAAAATTAAATTACATATAGCTCTTCTTGCTAACTGTATGTTTTGAAAAGAACCGAGTATATGAATTTTACTATCTGCCAGTACAATTCTAGTCTTTGTTACATTTTCTATTGTAAATTTTGTTCTTCCACTCTTTCCAGCCAATCTTCCAATTGCTCTAGAAAGATGGTCACCTTTTAAAGGTTTTACATCTTGAATTTCAAATGATTCTACAAATAAATCATCTAAACGTAACAAAGCTAAGGCATCTTCTACTTCAAAACCATAAATAAATGCTTTTATAAAATCTGCTCCTTTCTGTAGATTAGCAATATCAGGAGTTTCTGGAGCTGTTCGTAATTCTATATTTCGTGTTTTCAAATTAAATCTAATTTGTAATTGCAAATGTTCAACGATGGGTGTAAATATTTTCATCCAATTTTCTTTTAAAGGAGTATATCTATGAGCAGGTACAGATATCTGAAATTATTTTAGTAAAAATATTTTAATAAAAATATTTAACATATATTACATCATCAAATATGAATCGAATTAAATTTTTTACCTTTCTTTGTTCATTGCCTTGTACAGTTTTAGCTTTTTTTCGAGGTTATATACGAATTTGTTTTTCCTTCTATACCATTAATTACTTCAACCTAAAAAATAAAAATAATAAAAAAAAATTTAAAAATTTAGAAAAAAATGTAGTTATCTAATCTAAAAGTATCAAATATTATTCAAATAAATTAATTTTTTAAAAATTTAACATAACCTTTTTACTTACTTCCATATGACTTTCATTTGCATGTCGCTTTTTTCTTTCTTTAGATTTAATAAATTCATTTGTTCCTGAATTATTCTTTTCTTCTTTATCTATACTCATTTTTAAGAATTATTTATTTACAAAATATAAATTATATAATTAATTGTATAACACTGAACGAATACTATCTCGTTTATATTATATATATCATATGCTCTTTTATATTGATATATATTTATAGTTATATACATATATATAATAAAACGTAAGCATATAGCAGTGACAAATTACCACGTGCAGTTTTCAAGTTTATGCTGTAATTCATAATATTTATATATATATTATTTTTATTTTTATTATATATATATATATATATATTTATTTGTTTATTTATTATATGATATGTATTTAAATATAAAAAAAATAAATTAATAAATTTATATAATAAAACTATTATTATCTCTATTATATCTCATAAAAATATATATATAAATAATTATATATATAAACCCATGTTTATAATACTATTCCTATGAAAAATACAGCTCTTAATTTTTAATAAATAATATTTGGCTTCTATTATGGCAAAGTTTGCCTATTTTTGGCATATACATCATTTTTCTTTGCGATAGTATATTTATATGTAAGTAAAAGATATTTTATATATTAATCAAAATATATATTTAAAATAGACATTTAAGATATGAAAATTATTATATTATAAAAACTATAAATTATTTATATTTTATTATTTTTAATTGCAGATAAAAATAATATAAATTAAATTAAATTATTTTGAATTTTCATATTTTTATATTCATACATTGTTTTACGTTTACGAATATAATAATAAATTTATTGTCCATATTTTATATAAAAATATAAAACTATTTAATACTTATTAATAATCTTATAAAGTAATATATAAAAAAATATATAAATATATAGATAATATTGAAATTACATAGAAATATATAAAGAACAAATTTTTTTATACTTACTATTCAAAAATATATATATTTTTATTGACTTATTTATAAACTATTTATTTTAAAAAAATTATGATTTTTTAATTTGATAAAAAGTGAATTTAATTTTTAATTTTTTATATTTTTATTATATTTTTATTGTAAACAAATATTATTTATTATTCCTATATTTTAATAATTGTATTCTTTTGGAAATAATTTATCTAATTCACAATCTTTATATGAAATAAAATCTTGTGAAATTATTAAATATATTTATATCATACTTTCACAAAACATATTTTGTTTTAAAATAAATATATTTATAAAAATTTTAATAAACAAAATTGAAATTATATGTCATTCATAAACTTTGAGTAATTTATAACTAGAAATAATTGATAAATATCTAACATTATTTACATTATATTCATAAATTTAAAAAATAAAAATTTGTTTCATATTATCATGTTTCAATTATTTTTATATTCTAAAATATTCTAAAACATTAAATGAAATATATTTTTGAAAAAAATTATATTATATCAAAATATTTTAATATGTTAAATATAAAATTGATGAAATAAACATTAATAATAATATTAATGATAAAATAATAAAAATTATTATAATTTTAAAAATATATAAAAAAATAATAATTTAAATCTTTTTGTATTTATTATCCTGAAAGAAAATATTTGCATATGTTTGCAAAATATTATTTGTTTTTTATCACAAAATAATTATTGTTAAATTATAACTAGAAAAATTGATATAACTACAGAATGTATTTCTCTCATTATAAATGACCACAAAATCACTTTGATTTGACAAATATATATGTGAAATATCAAAGTAATTCATGAAACTGGGTATGATACAAAATAAGCAATTGCATCTTTTTATAACACATTTTTCATTATCCTTTAAGTTTATGGTAATAATTAATAACAAGAAAAAAACCTTCGTCAATGTGTCTACAATAATTATTAAAAGGTACAATTAGCAAATTACTATATTGTGTATCCACTTTGTGTAATAATAGGTAATAATATAATTGTAATATTTTTCTCGTAGCGCGATTTTCTTCTCACGTGCTATCGTTTTCTACAAATATAATATTGTATCTAATTTTTTATTTATATATATATTTATATTTATATATCCACTTGAATTATTATCAATCATTTACTTTTACTGCTATTTATATCAAATACTAAATTAATCAAATACTAAAAATACAAATGTTTTGTATACAGCAAGTTTTAGAGTCATCAAGTTTCACCTAGGAGTTGGTGATTTAAAAACGCATATTCATATTTGTGATAGAATATTAGTGGCACTGCAAACAAAATTAAGGAGCTTGTAATGCATTCATTATACATACATACACATGAGCATAAAATTGAACATTTTAATTGGTATAATCATTATAGTCTGCATGAAAATAATGATACATTATGTGTTTATGAAGCACACTATAAACACCAATTATTTATTGAGCGTTACAAATACACCATCTTTTAAAAATGTGTTGAATATCAACAATTGTTACATATTACAATCAACTTGTGATCTTTGGTGTATTAGTATTATTTGTATTATAATACATACATACTACATATGCAATTATATGGCAGACAAACTTTAGAAGCTCCTTAATTATGTAAACATGCAAAATATTTACTTATTTTTAAAATATCTATATTTACACGCAAGAAAGCTTACTTTCTTTATAATAATCATATAAATGTAATATTCAATAATAAAATTATAACATAATAATCCCTAACTTATTTTTCTATTTTAAAGATAAAATATTGTACATCGCAATTACAATTTATTTCTTTCCTGCTGATTCTTAAATTGTATTATTAAATTACGGTACTTTATATTATACGTGATTCTATTACAATATAGGGCTGAATCAAATTAAACGCATAATTTGGATATTCATTTCTTTATATGTTTTATATACAGCATAAATTCCCACCATGTAAAATAAGCATGCTACTATTTACAATATATGAGTCAAGATCTATTGAAATAAATTTTGTTAAACAAGCAATGTTCTAACTAAATAATTTAACTTAATATTAAAAATAGAAGAAAATTTAACGAAATTATTCAAAATGATTTCATTCAAGAGATGAAATTTGTTAAAATTTTTCCTATTCAAAATATTACTCATGAATTCAATACTTAATGTTCATATGACAATATTTTTTTAAAAGATACTATTTGATAGCCATCAAAGCTTCTATAAAGAATATGAAGAAAATATTAAATTTTATTCAAAATTCTTTATGAAATTTAAAAATTATGAAAAATGAAGAAATAGTTAAAGGAAGTTTATTTTAAAAATTTTAAATGTGATTCTAATTCAAATTAGAATTTATTCACTTATTAAACAATACAATTTTAATCGGAAAAATAATCATAATATAATATTTTCTTCATTTCTGAAATCTAACCTGCAGATGCATATTTACTTAAGACAAATAACGGAACGTACACAGAATTATGGAACAATTGCATACACATTACTGTAACATTTTAAATGCAGATTCTCAACATAAAAAAATGCTGTGATGGCTATCACAGGTTCATTTAAAAATTCCAATTCTCAACTGTATAATTTACATTTATACAATATAAAACTAGATTATCTGTTCACAAAAACAATTGTTCATATACAATAGTTCATATACATCACATATATACATACATAATATAATATATACGTATGCGTACACATTTTTATATACTTTAAGTGATGCCAAAAGAGTGCTTCTAGTGTCGTTAGTGCACAATCACAAAAAATAATTAATAGTATGACAATGTTGCACAATTTGAATTATTACTAATTTAATAAAAATTTAAACAGTTTCTATATACAATGAAGATGTATCTTTACAAGAAGTTATTTACAAAATATATTCATTTATATATTACCTATCAAATTAACATTGTATTATTCGTTTTTCTATTATAATTATTCTTATTATATTTATATATTTATGCATGATTTATCCCAACGTTTTGTTTATGTTTTATAAATAAAATAAATCCTTCTTAATAATTCTATACTTTTGCCTTTTGCAATATTGTGACTCAAGACAAACTTTTTGCTGAAAGACTATGTTCATTGAAATGACAAAAAATACGATTTTTTAATATGTAATATAAATATTTGTTATAATAATGACAAAAATCTTTCACAATAAAGATTATATTGATTGAATATATTTATAAAAAAAAATATGATTATTCTATATTTTAAAAATCTTTTTATGATAAATGTAAATGTAAATTTAAATAAATATTCTAAGTTATAAAATGTTACCAAAAACATTACTATAATAAAGAATTTTCTATATAACTATTTGTATAGTAATAAAATTTATATAATGAACAAATCAAAATTCATACAAAATATGAACCAAATATTTTTAAACAAAGTCTATCAGCAAAATTGTCAGAGAGCAGCGACTCAAGCCCCACCAATCAATGAAATTTGTCCTTGAGAAATGTACATTATTTATGGCAGTACAGTCAGATTTCATTTTAATGCATTAAAAATTTCGACTTTCTTTTACCATCATTAATCTGTATATGTAATATCTAATAATATTAAAAAAAAAAAATTTTTTTAAATGTAAAAGATATTAATTAAAGATATTAATTAGTTGTTCTTCATTATTTTTTATTGTTCTTAATTTTGATTAATAATCTATTTATTAATAAAATAATATTAGATATTCAATTAATAAAATTTTGACTATATAAAATTTTGTTTATATTGAGGATGTAACACAATATTTTACAAAATTATTAAATAAAATTTTTTTCTATTAATTAAATACAGAATTATACAAGCTTGGCAAAAGAAAGTTGCACATTAAGTCGGCAGTTTTGGATCAGTTCAGTTACTTAAGATATAATGCATTGAGCAGATTATTCTGAGTAACTAAACTTTGCTGTTTAGGAGTAAAGTGTAATTGAGAACGCTTAGACGGTAACAAAAAATAGTAAAATATTTTTTATTTTTTACTTTTATGATGAGCACTTTAAACATTTAAAAACGTAACAATCCTAATGTCTATAAAACAAATTTATTCAAATATTTGCATATTATGAAATATAAAATTTATCTTAATGAAACTC